GAAAGGAACTCGGGGTTTATGAATACAGAAGTGGGGAAGGAGGGCGGAGCGGAGATGGCGCTCTGGGAACGGGGATTGGAGCGGGATGGGAAGCTGGAAGCGGGGGAAGGGGGGGGAGATGGTGAGGGAGAAAGGGGAAGGGGGAGGGGAAGGGGAAGGGGGACGGGAATGGGAAAGGGGGAGGGGAGATGGTGAGGGAAATGGGAAGGGGGGAGGGGAATGGGAAAGGTTAGGGGAAGGTAGGGGTGAGAGAGGTGAGAATAGGAGGAGGTGGGAGAAGGGAAGGGAGTGGGTGGGATAAGGGGGAGGGGAAGGGAGGGAGGTGGGAGAGGGAAAGGGAAGAGGGAGGTGAGAATGGGAAGAGGTGGGAAGAGGGAAAGGGGAGATAGGGAGGGAAATGGGGAGGGCAAAGGGTGAGGGATATGGGAAAGAGTGAGCATTAAGGGGAGGAGAAGGAGAGTGTTTGGGTGAGGGGAAGGGAGAGTAGGGAGGAGTGGGAGAGGAAAAGAAGAGATGGCGAGGGAGAGGAGAGTGGGGGAGAAAAAGGCTTAAGGTTTTGGGCGGATGAAGACGTGATAGGGAAAGGGTTAGACGAAGGGAAAGACATGCGAATCATCACAAGACTTCTCCCAGACTCCCAAGAAGTGATCATGGTGGTGATGATGGTGAGGACGTTGACGGTGAAGGTTAAGATGACTCAAGGCTCCCAAGAAATGATCATGGTGATGATGATGATGATGTTGAAGGTTAAGAGGATGATGATGATGATGGTACTGGTGATGGTGTCAGCGATAATGACACCGGAGCTTATCCTAATACATCATCAATGTGAGGAAATGGTGTATCGACCCGACGAGCAAACGCAAGACTTGCCTTCGCCCCGACAGGCCACTCTGTTCCATTAGGCCGACCGCATAAAGCTTTCACGTCTTTTAGTCTTTTAAACCCTTGATACGAGGACCGCAAATGACGCCGGGAATGGTCTTTGCTAACCGCTAAGTAGATGTCGATTCGCCTTCATGTTAAAAAGATTGCAATTAAACTGATTATTTTCTCTTCTTTACAGGTGAGTATTGCAGAGAGCCCCCTCGGGTGTGCGACGGAGTTTGCAGTCAAGGTAGAGTGGCTTGTTCGTCCCCCTGATTGTTTTAGTATGAAGTGATATTCTCGAGCGTTTCCCCTCACTTGGCCGAGCAGGAGGAATTTCCCCTCAAGGTCCTTCCTCTTTTTTACCTGTGCGAGTTTTTCAAAAGAGGGCAGGTATGTATGTACACGCCGCGCCGCCGCTGCACTTGTTACAAAGGGAAAGAAAACGAGCGCAGTTACAAAGGGGAAGAAAACGGGAAAGGATTTACGCTTCTCCTTTCCCTCTTACGCGCTCTCGAGGGCCTCGGCTGTTTGTGTTTCGCTTCCCCTCTTTGCTTTTACTCATTTCATTCTTGCCTCGGCCCTTGCACATTTGTTCCCTCTTGCCTGGCCCTCCGTGGCTCCGCGCTTGCTTCGTCGTCAATTTTCGCGTGTCTCGTCGTTCTTCTTCGCGGCCTCTTCCTCCCACTCGTTTTCTTCCTTCGTAGATCTTTGCTTTTCTATTCGTCCTCACTGACTTCCTCTTCGTCCCCATGCTTTCCCCTTCGTCCCTTAATGCCTCCATGCTTCCTCGCCCCCCCCACATCCCTTGCCCCCCTTCATCCCTCCCCCCCTTCCATCCCTCCTCCCCCTTCCATCCCTTATGGCCTCCTCCTTCCATCTTTTCTACCTTCCTTTCATCCTTGCCCCCTCCCTTCCTTCCTCCCCCTCCCCTCCATCCCTAATCGCCTCCCTCTCCTCCTCCTTTTCGTGCCTCCGTGCCCACTCCCTCACGCATCACGAGGCATGCGAGGGAAGAAGCGCACCTGCCGCACGTTGCCTTCGTAGTCTGCGGACTCGCTTCTTCGCGTCCGTGTCACGAGCTCGACAGGTGCGGGGCTTCGGGTTCGTTGTGCGTGGGCGGCGAGGGAGTGACGGAATGGGCGGCGAGGGAGTGACGGGGTGGGCGGCGAGGAAATGAGGGAGTGGCAGAATCGCCGACGAGGGGGTGACTGAGGAGGGGTGTGGGAGTAGCAGAATGGGCGGGGAGCGAGAGAGAGAGAGAGAGAGAGAGAGAGAGAGAGAGAGAGAGAGAGAGAGAGAGAGAGAGAGAGAGAGAGAGAGAGAGAGAGAGAGTAGGGGGGTGAGGGAGAGGCTGAGTAGGGAGTGACATAGCGAGGGATCATGAGAGTTGGCGACGAAGAGTGGCAGAATGGGCGGAGTGGGATGCAAGCGAAAGGCAGAGTGGGCGGCAAGCGAGTGATCGAGTGAGAAAGGTGGTCGGTGGTGACAACATGTGCACGCAGTTCAATTTCTGCTCCTGAAGGTGCATGTGGGTTTTAGAAGATATATATTTCTTCCAGAACCCACAAACACCTCGTTAACGCCGCGGTATCTCCTAAGTTCATGATTTGTTGCTTTTTTCACGGAGAGAGAAAATATATATCGTACAAGGAATTGGTTTTCAGAGTATCTTCACCCGAAAAAGCGTTCGATTTTTTTTCCCTCTTTTCCATTTTCGTTATAGACACCTTCTATCATCGATCATGTATAAACTACAGTTTTACACCCAAAGTACACTGAGGTTGATATAGCGTTCTCAGCTGATCTCCCAGAACGGCGCAGATGTTCTTCTCCGGCTCCCATCACGAAACGCACGAAGAGTAACGTGGAGTCGAACTGAACCGCTCAGAAACGTTTTATAGCGAGGAGGATCGCGTGTTGAAACGTTGCGGTATTTTCAGCATGCTTTCTCGTTTCATTCATCTGGTGTTTGTATGCGCTTGTGTATTTTTTTATTATTTTTTATTTATTTTTTTGCTCTATTAATTTATGGCTGTTGTGTAAGTGTTATTTAAACGCTTGGCGAATTTTTATTATCCGTATTGGCTACCGGTAATTACACTCAGCATGGAAAGTAGTGTGGATGTGAATTTCGTTTCAGTTCGAAATACGATACTTGGATGTCAGTTAACTGCATCCTCGTTCATGTTTCACGATACTTAATCCTGTTTTTTTTTTCTTGAGGGTATTAGTTTAAATGACTAACTTTGTTTGGGCGAATAGGGCGTCTGCACTGAGTCACCAGGTCGGCGGCGGGGCGGTTAAGACGCTCGTGTCACGCCTTAAGGAGCTCGGCCGCCTCTCGGGGGACGCCGCCTTTGTGAACCCTGCTAACGGCCGGTTGCCTCTTGTCTTGGCCTTCGTTGGCCTTCTCTTTATCCGTTTCTCTCTCTCCCTGGTTCTGATTGTCTTTCTTTGTCTCCCTCCCTCCCTCCCTCTCTCTCTCTCTCTCTCTCTCTCTCTCTCTCTCTCTCTCTCTCTCTCTCTCTCTCTCTCTCTCTCTCTCTCTCTCTCTCTCTCTCTCTCTCCCTCTCTCCCTCTCTCTCTCTTATTATAATTATTATTGTTGTTGTTGTTCTCTCAAGTGTTACATTATTGTCCGCGTCCAGTCTGACACGCGCAAGATGTTTATAAGCGTGCGTGTGTTTACTTACCTTTTATTCCTTCCTTGCCTCTTACTTCGGCTCACACTCGAAGGGTTCGTTCTCTGGCGGTGCGGCAGTCTAGTCATCTTCAAGTGCTCAAGTGGCAGCTCAAGTGTGTGTTTGAGAGAGATGGAAACGGGTCACTTAACAGGTCCGTGTAGATTGCGGGTCAAGGGGGTGAGGCGTTGCTGGGCTACAGGTCGCCCCCGACAAGGTTCGTACATGACACGCTGGATATTCTTCGGGTAAACCGGGTTGCTGTTGTTGGGACGCATGACTTCGCGTGGTAAAGGTGGGCTGTGTTTAGGCGCGGAGAAAACGGGAAAGACGTGATGCGGCATTTTGGAATCGAGTGACAACGATTTTGTATATATATATATATATATATATATATATATATATATATATATATATATATATATATGTATATATATGTATATATATGTGTATATATATATATATGTATATATATAAGTATATATATGTATATATATATATATATATATATATATATATATATATATATATATATATATATATATATATATATATATATAATACATACACGCACGCACACATATAAATGTATATATGTATATATATGTATATGTGTGTGTGTGTGTGTGTGTGTGTGTGTGTGTGTGTGTGTGTGTGTGTGTGTGTGTGTGTGTGTGTGTGTGTGTGTGTGTGTGTGTTGTGTGTGTGTTTGTGTGTGTGTGTGTGTGTGTGTGTGTGTGTGTGTGTGTGTGTGTGTGTGTGTGTGTGTGTGTTTGTGTTTATTTATTAATTTAGTTTTAATTTAATATGTGTTAATGTTTATAAATATAATATTTGAATGACTTTCTTCGTGGTTATCCCCTGCACATTGTAAGCAAGTATTCACCGTCGGTGTAGCTGCAGTTTACACAGCGTGAACTGCAGTCGCGCTGCTATCAGGTTTGAATTCACAGATGCTTCCGGCTCAAGGGAGCTCAGCAGTCACTGGCTTCCAGGGTCGCTCTTGCTCAGGAAGCGTTAGGCAGAGCTTTTCTTTTTTAAACCTGCGACGCCCTTGTTTTAGAAACTGGTGTAGCTATTTAAGAATGTTTCTTTGTGATGAGGGAAGACATGTGTTGGCGATAATCCGTAGATGTTTGTGGGCGCAACGTACTGGTCAGGCGCTCGCTCGTCACTACGCGCCGATTCGGTTGAGGAAGAACCCTCCCCCTGCCAGCGCGCAGCATCGAATTGATATCAAAGTCGTCGAAGACATACATCTCGTCGTATTATCTAGCGAAACGGAAGTCATGACGCCGTGATATGAAGTGTAGATCATATATTCGTCCGGGATGAATCTGATAAAAATGAGATAAGCGGGTGAGACTTTTGCTCGCCGTACGACACGTTTTCCGGAGTGCGGGTTGGTGTCTCTGCCAGTTCACCTGCCATTCGTCTCGTATTCGCGTGAGAGTGAATACATATACAGGATATTTTCTCGGACTTTTTGTTGCTAATTTGCCTCAGTGTTATCGGAAAGTGGACAACCCCCGTGCGATACCAATTGATAAAAAAAGTGGTGTAGTTTTAAAGTGAAGTGGAGAAAACCCTTTCTTAATTTAGTGGCACGT